GTGTGTGTGTGTGTGTGTGTGTGTGTGTGTGTGTGTGTGTAAGCATATGTGGGTATGGGGTTCATTCTGTTCTGCAATCAGCCCTACACTTCCTTTTCTATGACCAGCTTCCGTTTTAGTATTGTTAACAGAGTCACTACACGGCGGCTGCTTCCCCTCGGCTGAGACAGCCTGCCTGCGCAGCTTCCTGTGTATGCGTCTGTATGTTTTCATCTACCACTGGGTGTGTAGTTGCATCTTTGTGCCATTGTGTAGCTATAGACATACATATATATAGAGAGAGAGAGATAAATAAATATAGGGCCTCTGTGTGTGTGTGTGTGTGTGTGTGTGTGTGTGTGTGTGTGTGTGTGTGTGTGCGTGACTGTGTGCAGGCACTACCATTGACAAACGCTAAAGCAACTTTTGTTTTGTGTTTGCAAAGAGAAAGAGGAATAGTATAAACCAAGGCGTCTTTTAAAAAGTCTTTCAGCGCTCCGAGAGGTGAAAAGAAAAGAAGCTAACAGAAATGTGCTTCCTCAGCTCTTTCATCTGGTGTCAAAAAGGAAATGAACTCTGTATGTACACTCTGTACACTGTATGTGTGTACTTAAATAGAAGAATCCTGGAATTCTAAATAGTGAAATTGCTCACTGACTTGCATATTTGACAGCACTGACACACAAACAGGCACAGTGGTCAATGAAAACCTCTAAGCCGATACAAGCGACTCAGAGTAACTTGGATTGTTTCCAGAACCTAAAGGAAGTCTGATTTTAAAGGTCAGGTTAAGACAACTCAAACATCTTTAGGCTGATGGCATTGAAGTATAAGATAGATATGTTCCTGAAAAAATAAATATATTGTATTGTATACATGCCAGTAACTAGTTTTCTAAGTATAGTAACATAAATTATCCAGATGAAGGAAAAGGGTGAAAAAAAATGTCCCAAACCCCTTTGAAATTCTGCACCACAAGTACCACCACTGTTGTATGTTCAAAATGTTGGATGAGCTGTAGCAAAAGACTTTTAAGCTGAATACCTAAATCCTCACAGATCAGGCTTTCCAACAGGTTTGACACTCTATGCCAATATTTAAAAATAGACCGTTACATAGTCGTGAAGTGAGACGTGCAGACTGTAAAACCAAAACAGAACTGATTTTTTTTATGTTACTCTCTGTTTGTTTGGGGTGTTTTTCACACTTCTCCCACTAGCATGAAGTGATAAACTAAATAAACTAAATTTAACTTTAATGAGCCATCAGACCTGCAGCACCAGAGCAGAAAGGAAGTGAGTGTTTTCACTTCATCTTTAGAGTCATGGCACATGGTTTGACAGATCACATGTTTACTTTTTTCTTCTTTGTTTTGCCTGAAATATTTCTAAGAAATTAAACTCTTGAGCTTTACGTGTTATATCAGTTTCATTCTGTCATACTATTATAGGATTAATAAATGCATTTGAGTTCCTCTTTTATCTGTTTTGTTCACGGGTTCGGTTATCAACAGCTTCCTGTGATTGCGTAAATATTTTTAAACGAATGTTCTACTAAATATAGGACAGAGTTTAAATCTTTTTTTAAAAATCTGGTGGTTTACTTGAATCAGGAGCTGCTGTGTGATGAGAAGAGTAAGATGTTTCAGGAAACAGACATCACACTCACGTGCGCTTTGGTTCTGGAGATCCAGGTCTCCAAAAGAAGCGCGAGGCGCGTCTTGTGGAACCTCCCGGTGGTTTTCACAGCTATGTAGACGTCCTCCACCTTCAGTTCGGGCTGGCTGACATGTGCGTCCTCGGGCACCGAGCGACCTCCATCGGCCAATGCTGTTTCGCCGCTGCTTCTGGTACTTTTCGCCGGGTTCTGCGCGTCCTTGACCAGGAAGGTAGCCTGCTGGATGGTCCGGTGGTGGATCGCACCGGGTGATGGATGGTGAACCACTATAACTTTGGGAAGGCTGCTGGTTCGAAGCTGAAAATCCACGTAGAGAATGATGAAGAAGGTGAAAATTAAGACAAGCAACCTCCGGCGTATCCATCTGTTACGCATGGTAAAGCAAAATAAAATTTAAAAAAAAACTCAGTTAAATGTTGTAGGTCATTTAAAACGTGCTCTTAGCGCCCTTATTTAAAATCAACGTCATTTTTTAAAGTTCTGGGTTAATTTCGTAGCGGGTCCTCCATCACTTCTTCGTCTTCCTCCTTTTTTACAGTTCCTGAATGGCCCAATTAACTGATAATTCTCACAAGTGCAGCTTCAGTTTCAGAGTCGTGTCAGTCACGCACACGATCAGGGTCTAAACTCGTGTCTGCTGTGATCACATAGGCAAAAACTCGCATTTCCTCTCATTTTGTGCAAAAAGCCAGAAGCGCAAAGATGTATTTGACTTTCCACTTGCAGTTCTGCGCTGTCGCCACTGTCAAGCTACAAGGAACCAGGTAATAATATTTCCTCTCGCCGCTGTCAAAATAAAGCACATCCGGTGAGGATCTGCATAGAAGCTTAAACATGCATCATATCAGGGGTACAAGACACAGCAGGATATCACGACATATATACTTGACGTGTACTTGTAGGTGTACTTCAAAATGCAAAAAAAAAAAGTTAATATTTTGAGGCAACGCAAATAACAGCAAAGTGGAAAAGAAAGTTTAAAGATTTTTTTTTAATTCCTTAAAATGACAACATAGCTTTTTGTCATTTACAAACATTCAGACTCTTCAGAAAGTCCCTATGTGTGTATGAAAATGTCAGGACTGACATTCACAAAAGAACAATGATCTGCATCTATTATAGAACACAGCAGGAAGCTGTGCTTCAAGAACAGGGGTGGGTCTTTCAAAGTAAAATACAGAGCACTTTTCTACTCCCCTTGAGGACTCAAAGTACTTTATACAATATATCTAATTTGAAAAAGTTATGGTTTGTCTAAGTGCTTTCTAACTAACGTTGCCAGTCCAAGAAACTTCTCCAACAAATCATTTTAGCATGCAGACTGAAGCAGCCAGGACTCAAACCACCAACCTGCTGATCAGATGGCCTGCTTAACTTCCTGAACCACAGCCACTCCTGGTCAACCAAGCCATTCCGGTCTACTACCTCTGACATTGAGGAGACCCACTTTGAAAGAGCTATGTCCACATTGTGTTAACTGAGTCCTCCTAACTCAAAACATCAGTATGGTTTTGTAACATGCAGTAAACAGCTCTGATGTGTGTGCTACAACAACTGGCAATACATGGCCAAAAGGAGCCTTCAGAGGAATCACAACTCAATCATATTTACTGCTATGTTTTCATAAAAGCAGGAAGGACCAACAGTTTGAAAGGAAGGAAACATAGTTTGAGAAGCAACCACAACACCAAACAGAGAAGACTGGATTACAACAAACACAGAGGAGATGGGACTCTTTCTTCTGCTAAAATTGCCGTTATTTCACCATCTCTTATCCACTGTATACAATATCCTGCTTTATTAAAATCACAGGTCCACTTTAAAACAGCGCAGCTTTGAAGATGAAGTGGACCTGCATATGCTGACAAATATTTTTGTTGTTTTTATTTTAAATAGTAGATAGTAAGCAGGGTTTGTTTTTTTTTGTAATTCCAGTAACTGCAAGTAATAAGTAAATAAACACATAAACATATATATATATATAAAAGAATCGTTTTTACAGCTTTTCCATCCATTCGTAGTACACCAAAGAAATGAAACAACGGAGAAAACAAACAAATAACAGACATGTGCCCTTTTCTTCTTTTTAATTGGCTATAAATATTTGGGGTTTTTTTGTTTTTTGGGGGGTGGTTTTCGCCTGTCCCGTTTGGTTCTTTTGCCATCAGAATTATTGTCTAAAGGCAAAGAAAGATGCCCAACGGATTTACTTTACCAAATGGACCATCCCAGCTTTGCCGTATTGGTCTATTTGATTCACCTTTTATTGTTTATTTTATTTTCACTTGCTAAATACGGGACAGACTTGACTGGGGAAAAGAAAGGGGAGAAAGAAAGAGGGAAAGAAAAACAGCGGGGAAGAGGGACAGGGATAAAGGGCAAAAAAAACAAAAACAAACAAAACAAACAGACAAAAAATACATATATCAATCACCTGGATCACCTGTTGAGGAAGAAAAAAGAGAAAACAAGCAAAGAAAAAGAGAGCAACATAATAAACAACATCATGATGATCTATGGGAATATAACAGTAAATACTAAATATTAAACATTATTGTGCAGCACGTAAGATAGACAGCGCACAGTGTGCTTTGAGGTAGGAGCCAAAAAGAGTGTCGTTTGTGTGTGTGATCACCCGTGTGTACACCTGTAAGCATGAACGCACTTGT